TGCCTTCAGTCGGAGCAGCATGAGGCCTTCAGCTTATTGTGACTCATGATGAGGACAGGGCACAAACTGAGCGAGTCCCTGAGGGTCGGGTGAGGTCCTAGAAGATTGGAAAATGGGAAATATGGAAAGTGGGAAAAATGGGAAATACAGTGCCCAAAAAAGGGAAAGCAAAAGCCCAAGGAGATACCGACTGGTCAGTCTGACCTTGATATCTGGAAAGCTACTGATGAATATAATCATGCAATCGGCTTGTAAGCATCTAGAGGACAATGCATGATAAATAACAAACACCATGGATTTGTCAAGAGCAAGTAATGACAGACTTCTAGCAGAGAGAAGAGAGCAGGCGATGGGATATACCTTGGCAGAGTGGTATTTTACAGATTAACTGGTTCAAAGAGACTTGAGATCACATAGGCAACAACCTGTTTCATCAGATAGTACAAGTCGGGTATTAAGTTAAGGAGCTGCAGTCTACATCGGGGTGCCAAATTGATTCAGCCCCCACAGGCCAGATCCGGACTGCGGAGCTGCATCATCTGGTCTGTGGGGCTGCCCACAGGGATGGAAGCTGTGCGGCAGCAGCACTGATTGCCTTGGCTCCTGCCACTTTTCTGGGAGCTGTGGCAATGAATGCTGCCACTGCTTGTCCAGCTGCCAAATTTCTGGCCCGGGGGAGCCCTGCAGGCACAAACGACTCTTCAAGAAGGATGTGAGGAAACTGAATGATTCCAGAGTAGACGTCTAGATAACATGGCAGATGAAGAAAGGTTGGAAGAACTGGATGTATTTAGTCTAGAGAAGGGAAGATTGGGATTTGATGCGAGAAGCAAGGGGTTGGGTTTTTTTGTGGGGGGGGTTTTGGTGATATCTTTTATTGGAGTGACTGAAATTGGGAGAGAGACTAGCAGTCGTCAGAAACAAAAACACTTTGTTATAAGGAGAAGACAACAAAGTCTTGCGTCTCTCCACAGGGGACAGGGCAAGAAGTGATGGATTGGAACTGCAGTGAGGGAGATGAAGGTTAGATAGTAGGAAGAGCTCTGAGCTCTCTGAGGGTGGTGAAGAGCTGGGGCAGATTACGTCCTGTGGTGGAAGCTCCGTCGCACTGAAGTTCTCAGTGCATGTTAGACACTTTCTCTAGGATGTTTTAGACACAGGGATGATGCTGCCTTAAGAAGGGGATTGGATCAGCCCTGCATCTGCTTGGGATCCTCTAAGTTTATAGTAGAAAGTCCACAAAAAATCAGGACAGATTGATTCTGTAAAGTTTTGGATGGGAATTCATGCTGTCAGCTGAGTGTTTTCTAACTAATCTGTGCAAAATTAATTTGTTGTAGCATTTCATGATTTTTCAGATGGTGAAAATAAGCTAACTGTGAAAGGAGAAGTCACATGCTGGAAACAGAGTGGGAGTGAGATTTCAGGAAAGCAGACTGACTCTGCTCTTGGAAGCATTTGTAGGCTGGAACCAAACCCTTGATTCCCAAGGCACATGCATTCAGAAACCCTGAAGGCAAAATCTGTACTGTCTTTCCATTAGCGTGGTTTTACTAGGGCCAGTGGCAAACACTGCAAGCAGCAGTAAAAGGCAGCTTAGAATTGCATTTTACTTCAACAAACTGATCAAGTGTATGGGATTGCAGTTTATAAACGCATGAAAGCTGTAAGCACCAAGAATGGAGTGAGTGTATTTAAGGTGACATAAAAGAGCATTACTGAGAGTCGTGGGATCAAATGCAAAAAAGGAAAAGGTACACTGAATATCAGGCTCAGATTCCTGACAGTCAAATTTGTTGAGGTTGTGGAGCTGCCTTCAATGGGAAGTGTGGACACATTCAAAGCTGGATGGATAAAGGACTGAGAAGGAACAAGCCTGTATTGGCCCCTGGGCAGTTGAATTGTGTGTGAACTATTAGATATTGTTATCTTGAGCATCTATCTTCTAGCCCTATGCCCAAAACTATTCCCCAGACTTGAATCACAAACCTCACATGCAACTTTTAGGACTAATATTGCAAGAACTGGCTGAATGCCACATGGTCATTGTCACATTTCCCTGAGCTTTACCTACAAATCAGTGGGATTATATTATGCATACACACCTTTGATTCTGAAGGCTTTCAAAGGTCTTTATGAGCAATATATAGAAAGATCATTTGCCAACCACTTAAATACAATCCCTTCTAAGATCAGGTATAACAGCAGCAATTCACAGCATTTCCTTGGAAGTAAAGAGAATATATTCTGGCTACACTAGTGAATCAGGATTCTGCTAACCAGTAAACTTTTTGTGTAAAATAATTCGGTCTGGATATATGGCTGATATTCAGTGAGATATGTTCCCTCTTGCCATGTCGGCTCTGAGAAGAGAACTTCAGAAGTTCAGGTAAGCGATCAGTTGTTTCTAATGATGATGTTTAAATTGCCACTCTCTGCACTTGCAGTATATACACCACTTCCTAAATGAGACTTGGAGGAGTCGTTACCAGATGGAACTTAATCCAGACTTCCTGACCTTCCTGTGGTCTGTCATTGCTTCCATATTTTCCCTTGGAGGTCTTTGTGGAGCTCACATTGGAGGCAGCACGGCAATTAGGCTGGGCAGGTAAGTTATACGCATCTGTGGAAAGTGGGTAGAAAATGGAAATTTAGCCAACTTCCTTTTCCTCCATTATCATTGCAAAATGATGTAAAGAAAGAATTCTGAGAAAATGTACTTTATCTGAAGGACTCTTCAGTTACATAACTAGAAACAGAAGTGAATATCACTACCAAGGAATGGAGACATGGTATTTCAGAGATGTGTCCTCCCAGCTAGCGTCCAGCTACATGAGTGTGGAAAAGAGCCGGAACTGAGTCCAGTTCCTCTTATCAAAGCAATTGAAGCTCTGCAGCTTATATAAAGTATAAGTGCACTCTACACATGCGTGCAACCAGTAGCATAACCAAGGAAGGGGGACTGGGGAAGTCCTGGTCCTGACTTGAAGGTGGGGGGAGAAAATAACAGCTGCTGCCACAGATGCAAAACCAGACCAGCAGCACAGCAGCAGTCAGAAGCTGCCACTGCCTCTGTCACAGCTGCCCTGAGTGCCCTGTTGCCTTGTTACATCTCTGCACACAACACAGATGCGACACGGACACCGATGAAAACAATACATTATACACATTAACACACACGTGCTGCGTAGCTTCTATACACTTCGCAGGTGTTCCATGTAGATATTGCATGCGAATAAATATACGTATTTCACATGCAGGGATACATGCATACATTGTTAGGGATTTCTTTGGGATATGAGCATCATATTATAACTAAGTGTTGTTTTTATGTAAAGCAGGCATGTGTTAGGTATCCCAGTTTCCAGTGAGTAATGTATCTTTGAAATTATTTTTTTTCCTTATTATTATAAAGGTATTTTGAATATTTAATATTAAATTAAATATTTAATATTTATGTTTCTGTGACTCTTGTTGTTTTTCCATTTAGAAAAGGCGCTCTTTTGGTGAACAATTTCATAGCAATACTGGCCTCCATTTTAATGGGGATTAGTTTTCCAACAGGATTGTTTGAGTTATTGATTGTTGGCAGATTTTTGATTGGCATAAGTGCAGGTAAATGAATTTCTGTTCTTCACTTTAGTAATAATGCCATTTATCATAGTTTATTATTCTTATTGCTGATCCTTTAGGTAGTGGTGTAAATTCATATTTGCTTTACAGACAGGCATGGAGACAAGTAAGTTTCCTAAAATCTAAACTGGAATTGAAACACTGCCAGATGAATGGAGAGATTTAGAATTACAAGACTCTTTTTTTTTTTTGCCCAGCTATAATTTTCTAACCAAGTTCCATGTGTTAGCAAGCCTCTGTCGCTATAGTATTGGCTAAGTTGTAACAATAACTATCTTGGTAATAGGGGCATAGAGAATGGCTTCTGCTCGGACACTTGGGTAGTGAGGACTGGTCAGAGTAGCACTGTGATGGAACTCCAGCTCTCACAGTTCAGCAATAGACCGGGCACAGACAAAGGAGCAGAGAGGACTGAGAAGGGGATAGAACAGGATGGGTAGATTTTCCAGTCATTGGGCAGAAAAGTATAAGAGGAAAAACCAAATGAGGTTGGCGAGTTTTGAATGGCCAAAGAGTCTAATGTAGAAAAGATGTCGGGGCAGCCGAACCATTCTTAGTTTTGCGGGTAAACTGCTTATGTTTGTTCAATGAGTTGCTCTTTATGGCAGCAAAGAGCTTGACGCTCCTTTCCCACCCCCAGTTTTAAAGGTAAGAAACTCTGAAGACCCTTCACATGCCATTTGAGGTTTTAGGACTAGATAGAGAAAGCATTTGGAAAGTGCTAAAAAGCTAATACAAGTTAATGTTCCACTTACAGGGGTTCATGTGCCTTTTGAAGCCACTGTCTAAGTAGAACATAGTCCTGGCAACAGGACAAAGTGTCTCTGAGCACAGACCTGGAGTCTGCGCACAATGTCATTTACTATAGTCAGAAGCTGAAAAGTCTTAATCTACAAACAGGAAAACACTTCCTCTCTTATTTATAGGTATTGGCCTCTGTGTGCAGCCACTGTATCTTGGGGAAATTGCTCCAAAACATCTCCGAGGTACGCTGGCCATGGGCTCGTCCATATTTCTGACTGGAGGGATTCTGACAGGACAGATCATTGGCCTAAGGTTAGGAATACCAACTTTCATTGCCATGATATTATTTCTGAAGAGTAACCAAGCAGCGGTTATCTGCAGAGGTGCAAAGATCTCTCTGGAGAGGGAAAGGAGCAGAACACTGCTCTTTTCATCTTTCTGTTCTTACAGATTGATCAGCTAAAAAATAAGGGCTTGCATCATGCGTGAGTTCAGTTGAGTACCTCCATGTGGAAGCATTTTGTTTACTTGGGCCAGCCACAGCCTGTGCTGTAAATCAGACACTTCTCTGCACTGACCTAGTATTTTTTTTATACAGGCCTTAGAGCTGTTGTGCAGAACAAAACAGATGAGGAAACCTGTAGTTTACAAGAGTGGGGCTGAGAACAAAGGAATATTAATTTATCTATTGCAGTACAACCACCGTCACTTGCACATTGTTTCCATGCAGGAAAGGTACCTGTTGATACCAAATATGCCAGAATGAAGCTTCTTTCATGAAGTCTACCAGAGGCTTCCAGCTGTTATATCAGTTGCCTCTGGCTTCAGCAACAGTAACAGAACATCTGCTGCTTCTCACTTCCAGTGCCTACAGCCCTCCGGCTTCCTCATTATTTTCCTTTCTTCCCGCCTCCTGACCTCTTCTTCCTCACTGCCCACTATAGGCATAGAATATCATCAGTGCCTACTTACACCACTATAGCGCAGCTTACTAGTGTCCAAGGGAGATGTGGCCGTGTTAGGTACTTTAGTTTTTTAACGTGGTTAAAGCAGCTACTAGTATTTGAAGCACAATTGCATTTAGCATTAAAAAACCTCATCACTTTGTGTGAAATGCATCCTACTACAGGCCCCAGGTATAACAGTTGGGATGAATTCCTGAAACTTAAATGCACTCCGTTACTCTCACACATGAATAAAGATGCTGCATTTAATGTTATTGGAAAATATTGGCTTGACTGACCTGCAGGCCGACAGCCTCTGTGTAGTGTCCGAATGGATAGATCATAGGCAGCAGCAAAGCCGTTCTCCCTTGCTGATGGGGCTCAAATCTGTCTGGATAGAATCTGTTTTATGGGAGAGGAGGGAGTTGATTTTCCCTACCCGGTTCATTTGTGGCCTCTGCTGAAGCTGACAACAAATGGGCCTTATTTGCTACAGGCAGGCCTGTCACCTGGGATCAGTGCCCCCTTTTTAATGAGCTTCTGAAACAATGATCATCCAATAACAACCTTTTCTTTCTACGTCCAGAGAACTACTTGGTGGAGCAAGGTATTGGCCTTTGTTGCTGTCCAGCAGCTGTTTCCCTGCATTTGCCCAACTTCTGTTCCTCCCCTGGTTTCCTGAAAGCCCAAGGTATCTTCTGATTGACAGAGGTGATGAGATAAAGTGCACCAAGGGTATGTTTTACAGCCTTTGCAATTTCCCTATTGCTCTCAATCCACAGGATGAATATATTTGGCTGCTCTTTTTCTTCTCATCTTCATTTCCCTAGCACATCCCGTGTCTTCTCAGTGAACCCTTAAACCTTCCAGACACATTTGTCTCCCAGCAGACTCAGAACCTGATGGAGCTAGCTTGCTTGACATCACCCAGCTCACCCACCCACTTCCTTCAGGCCACTGTCTGGCCTCCCCAGGTTCCAGGCCAGTTCCTGGGTACTTCCATCCTGCACTGGATTGAGGTTAGAAATGTCTGCCTTCGAGTTCCAGCCCTGTATGAGGAAAACCACCTCTCCCTGGCTGTCCTCCCAAGCCCTGGGAGAGGGAAGGCTATTGGAACTGCTGCAGAAGGTAGAGCCCTCCATCTTCCTCTCAGAACAAACTTTTCAATAGGGGAAGAAGAGAGGAAGCAGACACTCCTCTCAGAGGAACGGGGGAGGCAAAGAGCTGAAAGACCAGTAGCTCAAGCTCTCTCTCTGCCCTTCTCCCCAACTGTACGCAGTGGCTGAGTCTTTTCTCTGCTTTGTCCCACTTTCTTCCCTACAGCACTGTGCCTGGAAGGGGGTAGAAAAGACTGCTGTAGCTGTTCCCCATGGTCTGAGAGAAGGGAGTGAGGAACCCAGGCCATGCAGAGAGTTAATGAATTATCAAGTTGTCTTTGGGGAAGCTGGAAACCCACACCATTAGGAAGCCAGCAAGACCTTCCATAGCAGGGAGACTGCTGGACATCATAAGTGCATAATAGGATGGGCAGTGGAGAGTAAAAATAGCAGAGGCAGATCAGCGATGCAAGAGGAAAATCTCTGTGAACTGAGGGATTTAATTCATGGAGGGGGGTGGGGGAGTTAATTTGTGGGTTAGAAATACAGCAGCACCACTCAGGTATTTAGTAAGTAGCACTGCCAGACTGGCTAGCAAGCTCCTCTTTACCCAGCAGTTGTCCCCATCCCACTGCCAAGGATCTTTAGCAAACGGCCATTCCACACACTGAAATAAAAATACTTGGGGCTTGTCTTGTGCCTTAAGGGTTAGTTTGGGGAAAAGTGGTTACTGGTTCTTGTAGACACCACATGATGCATTCCAGGCTGGTGCGTGGCCTTAATCAGTAGCTTAGTTAACCTTGAGGAATCCAGGGAAATTGATTTATGGTCTTTTGGAGATGAGCATGACCTTCAGTACAGAAGTTTCCACCTTGCTACTTTAACTCTTGATGGTGCCTGTATTTCCTTAATGAGCAAGCTGTTCTGTTTACTGTAGTACACTCAGCATGTCCCACTGCCATAACAACAGGAACATGGATGTAACAAAAGATCTGACGTACGCAGCTATTTGGGACGGTTTGTTTTCGCTCGCACACGAACCTGGGAAAACCAAGTTTCATGTAGAGAAAACATTTTCAAATAGATTATGTTCACATGAGTTCTTCAGAGCGATATGCTTATTTCCTGAAAATCCCAGTGTTTCTTGCATCCTTACAAAAGTCAGGTCACAAAGGGATGGGAGAGCAGGTGATTTTACAAAGGCTAGGGTCACTTTCAGATATCATTGTTCTTTTCTCTTTTTAGCTTTGAAGCGCTTTCATGGTCTTTTGCACTACCAAACAGAGATGGAAGATATACAGAGAGAAGAATTTGCCTTAAATGGTGAGAAGCCAAAGAAGCCCTGGCAACTGTTCACTGATCGCAGTATAAAGTGGCAGCTCATCACGGTGATTGTGATGACTATGGGCCAGCAGCTCAGTGGGATAAATGCTGTAAGTGTGAAATCCCCACTGCTCAGGGTGCAAAGTTTTTTTTCAGTTGTAATTCCTCTGTAACTGTGATCCTCAAGTATTTTTTAATCCTTTCTACCAAAAGTCAGCATAGTAACGTATCAGCTTTTTGGAGCTAAGAGTGCTATTAATGATTTTGGGCATATCTTTCATTAAAAATATCTGCAAACTTCTCACACTCTGCATAAATAATCCCAATATTTCTACAAGCCATGCCTCTGATTGCTGAGCCTTTTTTTCCCTTCTCTCCTGCCCACCTTTGAGCAACCACCTTTGGGTTTGGTTCTGTGCTCTGCATGTACCTTGACATTAATTGATAGATTTCCTTTGTCTTTTCATGATTTGCTTAAGTCACCATGTACAACTTACTCAAATGCTGGATAGTACAAGAAGTTGGCTTTCTGCTGCTGTCATTGTCCACTCAAATTGTCACAGCCCTACTGACGTTTTCTTTCAGATTTATTTCTATGCAACTTATGTTTTTAAACAAGCTGGGATTCCTCAGGAAAAAATTCCATATGTGACCTTAGGTACTGGAGCTTGTGAATGCCTCACAGCCCTCACTTGCGTAAGTGATGCATTCTACTTCTGCCACTGGGCAATATTATTTTTAATGGTAGACAGAGAGAAACATGGTAAGCATTAAGTATCAGTGTTCTTAACAGAGAGGGTGCTATCTTGTCCACAGGGTTTACTGATTGACTACATGGGGAGAAGATTTCTTATCATTGGAGGATATGCTGTGATGACATTTTGGTGCATTGTATTGACATTCTCCCTGACATATCAGGTACAAAGGGATCTTGCTATGACACCGCCTCTGTTTGAGAAGTTGTGAGAGTAGGGGAGAGTGGAGATTTTAAATTGGAGATGAATATTTCTTAATAACCAGGGAAGCAGTAAGAGTTGCATACTTTAAACAACAAAGCAGGCAGGCTTTTGAAAATAGTAATTTAAGGGGTCTCTGTTTATCCTCCTAAAATGACTAATTGAATGCAACTGCCAGAGTGCCATGCCATCCAGCAGTTACACGGAAAACTGTTTTAAGGAATCTGAGGGCATACACAAATGAGAGTGGATGTGCGGTATGCAGTGCCACATGCTGCGCACACAGGTGTTCCCTGCAGGGGTGGGGTGGGGTTGACCCCAGGGTCAAAAAAACCCACACCTAAAAAAAAGCAGGGCTCTACACATAGTTGCAGCGTGTGCTGCCCAAATAAATTTTGCTTGGAAATAAATTTTCCCCCAAAATACCCCTGAGAGTCCATTTTAGTGACTTTAGAACTCTTATGACAATATAGCCATAAAAACGATAAAAATCCCACCCAAATCAATTCATAAGAATCTCACATACTTGAAGGCAAAAATTTCAGTTAGGATAGACTCCATCTGAAGGCTAACCCTGTGAAAAAAGGCCACCCCAGAAAACCAGCTTTATATAGTACAGCTCAGTTCTTGCACGTCTCTAATAAATATGATGTTTCATCATCACACAAAACTTGACTGTTTTTGTAAATAAACACTATACTGTCATGATTAAAAAGCTTGTACATGATAGCTGAATGTCACCTAGAAAGTTAGTGAGTGGCCCATGGGACCATAGGATTCCACTGTAGGATAAACAGTGATAAAAATACAGGTGTTAAGGTAACAATTCATGTAGAACTTTAACTTGATTTACAACCTCCATGGAAAAAACCTGACTCTAGTAATTATAAATATTGCCAACAATGGGACTGCTACCCTTGTGAAACTGCCCAGTGTTACATTACTGCTTTCAAGATTACAGCGATAATACTAAAAAATTGACTATGATCAATTAATGGTGATTGGTTGGCTTGTCCTGTCATAATTTACAGCAGAGTAAGGCTAGATGTAGCATTTAAAACCGTCTCTGCAATTTATGTAATTACAGTAAACAGGTAACACAAGCCACAGTGATGAACTTAAAAACACATTATGCATTCTGAGACACTAGTTTAATTGAAAGAAATTATTACTCCGATTCAGTGACCATATTTCTGTTGATTCAGGTCATTTACAAGTTCAGCCCCTAAATACATTTGACTATTAAGCCAAATGTTAAGGTGTGATGATTGAAATCTGAATCACATACTTTTCATGCTCTCTTTTCAGGAGCTGTACTCCTGGGTACCTTACTTGAGCCTGGCATCCATATTTGCCTTCATCCTGAGCTTTGGGTTGGGACCAGGTATTGCACATTAGAAAATATGTCTTTATAAATAGCCTGCAATACATCTCTTAAAAAAAGAAAAAGACAAGCCAATGTTATCTGTTGTGCAGGCAGATCTCCCCACATAAGAGATCATAGAATCAATGAGTTGGAAGGGACCTACACAGATCATCGAGTCCAACCCCCTGCCATGGGCAGGAAGGAGCACTGGGGGTGGGAGGGGTGACAAGACCCCAGCCAGGTACCCGTCCAGTCTCCTCTTCAAGATCCCCAGGGAAGGTGAGAGCACCACCTCTCTGGGAAGCCTATTCCAGGCTCTGCCCACCCTTACAGTGAAGTAGTTCTTCCTAATAGCTAACCTAAACCTATCCTCCCTCAGCTTGTGGCCATTGTTCCTGGTGACTCCAAGGGGGGCCCTGGTGAACAGACTTTCCCAGAGTCCCTGCTGCTGGCCCCTGATAAGGTTGCAGGCAGCCAGAAGATCCCCCCTCAGTCTCCTCTTGCGGAGACTGAAGAGATTCAGGTCCCTCAGCCTCTCCTCATAGGGCTGGCCACAGAGGCCCCCAGCCATACGAGTGGCCTCCTCTGGACCCTCTCCAGGTTCTCCACATCCCTCTTGAAGTGTGGCACCCAGGACTGGACACAGTACTCCCGCTGGGGCCTGACCAGCACCGCATGGAGGGGGAGCAAGACCTCTCTGGACCTGTTAGTGATGCCCGTTGATGCAGGACAGGGTGCGGTTGGCTGTGCCTATTGCTTCGTTGCGTTAGTGACTCTCATTCATCCCGGAGTCAATCCTGACTCCAAGATCCCTTTGTGCTGCCGAGAGGGTCAGCCCCTAACCTATAACCATAAAGCTGGTTCCCTCTCCCCAGGTGCAGCACTCTGCACTTGTCCTTGTTGAACTGCATCCTGTTCAGCTCGGCCCACTTCTCTAACCTATCCAGGTCTACCTGGATGCGGTTCCTGCCTGCGGGTGTATTCACTTTACCGGCAGGCAGCGAACTTGAACAGGGTGCTCTCCACACCCTCGTCCAGGTCGCTAATGAAGCTGTTGAACAGCACCGGCCCAAGGACCGAGCCCTGGGAGACTCCACTGCCCACACCCTCCCAGGTCAACATCAACCCATCCACCACCACCCTGAAGCTCTAGCTAAAATATGTGTTCTCTCACTAGAATGGCAGAGTACTGTAATAATCATTACAATGCATCCATATGTTTAATGTACCCAAACCACATAGGAAGCAGAAATTAGGCTGATCGTTATATGGTTAAGGGCATATCACTCATGCTGAGTTGCACCTTTCTCCTTGGGCAGTTTCCATTGAATTCAACAGGGCTTCTTCTCTAAAAGGGTACCACCTAACAGAAATAAAAGTATCAGCTGCTGGATCAAAGTGTACAAGAGGAATCCCCTCAAAATACTGTTTTGTTTTGTCTTTTTTAAACAAGTCTCTAGACTTTTTTCATGTAATGTTTAGGTCTGTTTATGGCCCACAGGTAAGCACCTACTATTCTCCCCTGCCTTTTTGAAACATTCCCTGAAGATACAAACTCTGCATAGTAAACTGTTCTGTTTTTTTAATCAATCCCTCCAGGTGGTATAACAAATACCCTGATTGCTGAATTATTTACACAGTCTTCACGGCCTGCTGCTTACATGATAGGAGGATCCATTAGTTGGCTGAGTTTCTTCACAATTGGAATGCTCTTTCCTTTTATAGTGGTATGTCTTCATTACCTATACTGTCTTTTCTTAGTTGTTGCACCAACACTCACGTGCCCTTTTCTCATGGACCTCACCAGATGCTGAAAATGCTTTTCCTTGTATAGGATTTACCACTTAGAGTTGAGTGCAAACTCCCTTTCCGCAGAGAGTAGGCAGTCGCTTTTACTAGGGCAAGTCATTTTAGATGTATACAAACATTAAAACCCACATGGAAAGATTGTTAAATAGAAATTAGTATGGCTGCATAGAAAGCACCAATTTCCAGGTGTTTTTTTTTTTCTAGGTGTGTCTCTCTCCATATCTATCTATCTCTCTATTTATTTATTTATTTATTTGTCTCTCTATATGTATGTATGTATGTATGTATGTGTATATATATGTATGTATGTATATATCCTAACAGCATGTCTTGCTGCTGCTAGCTTGTTAGGTCAAAAAGAGGCAATCCCTGTAAACAAAAAGTTTATTATTTATTGATTTCACACCTTTTAACTGCCCAAATTCAGTTGGGTACTACCACTTAGAATAGAAAGCTTCTTTGATCAAGAAACATTATTTTAGTGGATAAAACAGTACATTCCTAGCATCTGATGGCATAGCTTGTTACCTAAAAAAGGCTCATGCCTCTGGTTTAGTTAGAGCAAGGTTGTGCCTTAGAGATTAGCTTTTGCCTATTTTAGTGAAGATAAAACAAGGTGACAATTTCTACTTCTAGCCTAATAATTCCAGTTGTCACTCTTGTTCCTGTGGAGTAAGTCAATGTACACAATGAACAGTTACTGCTGAAAATTTCAGTAAGAACCTCCACAAGAAATCAAGTTGTAGACAGACATTCTCAGAGTAGGGTTTTACATAGAAACCAGTGTAGAACTTATTTTATAATTTCCAAATAGATCAGCCACTTCCATTTGTCAGATGTGAGGAATACTATTGTAGAACAGTGAAGTCACTAAAGATAAAAAAAAAAACAAAAAACACCAACGTTTATCACAGGTCAGCTATATTGTACCTCAGTGATTATTTGCTTCCTAAAGCAGCTTGAACATTACTAATGTAAGAAATTACCAACCGTACTACATGTTGATAATATGGGCAACAAGGGGAGTTGACCCTTTCCTTTAATCTCATGTTTGGCAATGTTAGATTAAGTGGAAAAGTGATACTAATTTTTGTTTTTTAAATTAATCTCAGCTATCCTATTTTTTTTTTTTTCCAGAATGGATTGAAGCATTATTGTTTTATAGTGTTCTTACTGGAATGCTCCTTCATCGCCAGTTTCATCTTCTTTGTTATACCTGAGACAAAGAATAAATCTTTCCTGGAAATCAAGCGGGAATTTCAAAGGCTTAATTTTGGAAGCAAAAGACAGGAAACAGAGCTGTGTGATAGAATACAGCTCCACAGTGAATTCTAGAGTGCATACTACACTTCCTGGCTGTAAGGCAGCCACTTTAATCAGAATGATATGCATGTGGTTTTATAAATTAGACAGCAAAACATAATGCTGAAATATTGTATTTACAGGTAGCTAGTTGCATCATTGGGTGAAATATAAGGCAGATAAAGCTTGCTGAAGTAGCATAAGAAACTAAAAAATGTATATACAATACTATATACAAAAAAGACAATTCAATAAAAATGTTTAAAGATATGGCTGTTGTCTTCATGAATAGGTCCTGGTGACCCGCCTCAGTCAATGTCTGGTTTATTGGAAATTTTGCGGTACTTCCACTGGATTGTGTGGCCCAGCTTCACATTCTGAACATATTAGCTCCCGATGCAAAGTAATAGGAAGAGCTTGTTTTTGACCAGCACTGAACAAGGATGTGGCTGGAAGAATTAAAACAAAATATAGCCTTTATGCTGTGAGACTAGAACCGTGTGCATTACATAATGGCCACATCAAACATTTGTTAATTGAAATACTCAATGAATAACAAATTTTTTTTTTTTTTTTTTTTTAAATACAGTAGTCCAGGGGGTTTTTTAAATGCAATAGTAATGTGCATTTGCCTTCCTGATGTAAA